CTCACGTCAGTAACCAGGGTCAATATAATTGTTAAGACCGTTCACAGGACAACTTTATAACACGGATAATAAAATACAGTTATTTTTGAGAAACATCGGTTTTAGAGTTTGCTAAGTAGTTAAATGTCTCAGCGTGGAATCGGGACCTTAGACTTGCCTTGTAGACAAAGAAGTCCACTCCTTCTGTCTCCTCAAAGTCGTCACATGCGACACATCTAGCGTCTTCATTTCCTCGCTCTCAATAACTATTGACGTATCGTAAATTTCTTACTTAGTCGAAATTTGACTCTGGAAGTATTTCACATGCGGTAAAGTGAGGGAGAAAATCTTACATTTCCTAGAAACAACCCAATAAGGTATTTCATGTGCTGATTCATGAGCACAGAGATCTACCACCTACGACGAAATAAAAACGATTCCCAAGTATGAATTTAATAGGAAAAAATTTCCAGGTGTGAATTCAATAGAAAACAATTCCAAGTGTCATTTCACAAGTATAAAATCCCGTGAATCCTGTGATTCCAGTCATAAGATACAAAGAAAACTGGTTAATTGCGTTTGTTACAATTTGTCTCATAAACTGAGTGTCATATAATTCATAAATATAGACAATATACCAATGTGTTTATTTACTCCTCGAATAAGCAAAATCGCTATAGCTAAGTAAAACAGAATTCCGTGTGTGATTCAAACAATAATAAAAATAAAATAACAATTTTATTACACTAGAAAATACAGGATTAACACGTTCGCTACCACCGCCGCGCCGCATATACTATGCGGTGTCCCGATTCTTGTATCTGAGCCCACCACCGCAGATGTGCGGTGCGTGTTTTTTATCAGTTTATGATAACGTTTTGGAAGTGACGTGGTGTAAAGTAATTACTCGGGCAAGTTGTTTAATAAAAATATATTTTCTTGAATCCGATAACGCTTAACCTAATTTTGAAGTGTAGGCGGCGCGAGTCTACGACAAAAGGCCTCGTGCCTTTTTCGGGGCTCCCTTAAGTAGGCCCTTTTCCCTGGGAAAGTCTCAGGAAGTGGGGGCGCGGGCCTGCATTGCCGAGGCAATACTCTTGTCCTCGAGGACGAAGAAACTAGGAGATGTTTGGAAAAACATCTCTCGATCCTTCACCTCGAGGGCCAAGAGTCAGCAGGCCTAAGTGCGTGGCCCCTCGTGGCGGTCGCCACAACGTATTGCAAAAAATTTGGAAATGAAGAGTATTGTTGAGCTAAAAACAATAAAATAGACGTAGGATGTCCTTGGTCTAGTGATAATTACATTTTTTAGTCCGTGAGGAGCAGTTGAATTTGTCAGTTCGGTAGTGCAAGTATTGAAAGACAGTAAACAAGTTATTTATATTTTTCAAGCATCTGTAGCCGTACGTGTTTATGGCATGCCTCCTGTGTCGTCTATAAGTTGTTACACAATTATTTGGGAAAAGGATATACGATCTATATGGACAATTTTTATAATAGTGTGCAATTAGCCACTTCGTTTTACGGAGACAAGACACACGTTGTAGGGACACTTCGCAAAAATCGCAAAGGCAATCCCAAACTTGTAACTGATAAAAATGTTAAAGGAAGGAGAATCTATTTTTGCTATGAATGGTAATATTTTAGTGCAGAAATAGAAAGATAAAAGGGATGTATTGACAATATCTACGAAACACAATGCATCATTGAAAGAAGTACAGCAAAAATGGAAATGTAGTAAATAAACCTTCTACAGCTGTTGATTATAATAACAATATGTCGAGCATCGACAGAGCAGATCAAATGTCTATTATTCTTCCCCTCGGATATCGATACGCTGGTATATAAAACTCTTTTTTCATATATTGAACATTACAATTTGGAATACATGTTATTTATACAAGTTCATTCCAAAATGAGTTCCTTCGACTTTAGAAATGATCTTGTCAAGAAATTACTAAATTATGATGGCAAAATACCTGTGCTTGCATATAGCAGTGCATCAGATTTCCAACATTTTCCTAAAAAATGGATAAAAGAAGGAGATGCCGTGTATGCGCCACTAAGAAGCGGCGCAAAGAGACTTTCTACACCTGTGAAATTTGTAGAACAAATATGGGACTACACGTTGGGCTATGTGTAGATGAATGTTTTAAAATTTATTTATTTATTTCGCTTCGAAAAATACTTTTATTTTGTTTTCCTCTACCATTCTCCTTTTGTTACAATATGCCACATACTCCAAAACAAATACACTCGGCTCGGGCTCCAAAACAAATTTCTCATCCATATCCCAGCGCCGCATATATGCGTCAGTTTGTAAAATTTTGCTTATTTGGAATGTTATAAATATATCCTAAAAAGATCCATGCCAATTTAAGGACACATTCTAACAAAAGACACCCTGGGCTGTGGTACAAGACTTTCTTCTCAGACCCTGGTAGCGACCGTGTTAAATGATGAATAGGCAAGGTTGAATATTTCTGCTGTTATAAAGCCTAACCTTCACAAGACAATACAATTGAATTAAAACTGAAACATGCACGACACAAACCAAAACTAGGGAAAATTGTCTCTCGTAATTTTCACTCACATCAGGGACTCCACTTGCCCAACTCAAAATTTAGGTGAGTAAGGTAATATAAGGCTTACTTTCGAGATCACTACAATACCAATTATGATTACTGGTTGGATCACCAATTTGCTCGCTCGCATCCTATTCTAACTGAATCCAAACCGGGATGTGACTCCAGCCCGAAATGGAGGTGAGGTGAATGGAATTTTAGCCCGAACGTGCTCCCGCCGTAATGTTTGGCATGTAATCCAGTTTTGGTGAGTATCGCCTAAATCAAGATTTTTTTGCCTAGTACTGAATCGAAAAATCCCGCCTAAATTTAATGCTTCGACAAAAAAGACAGTAAGAGAAAACTAAGGTGGTTAACTTATTTTCGTCAGAAAGGTTTTTGCCAACCAATTAAGAGCCTTTTTATAGGGATAAATTAAAATTATGAACACTTAATTTTTCATACATTGTAGTAATACTTCATCGGCTTTGGATGTAAAATTTAAGTAAAAGAAATTTCTTATACTTAGGGATATACAAATAGAATGATATCTTTTTATTGCACATTGAGAAGCCCATACAACATATTTTATTATCGCAATGGAAGATATTTTATTTACCAATGAAAAATTTCTAACGAAGTTCACTCATTTAGACGATATTAAATTTCTTTCGTTTATATCCACTGCAATGAAACTTTCAGAAACGTTTCATGTTGTATCATTTCGAAAAATTTCAAAAGAACTAAATAATTAAGCAACAAATGGCCATTCTTTCATTAACTATTTATTTCTGTCCTTCATTATAATATAATAACTACTATGAATAATAACATACTTTAAGAATTCCAGATTCTTGTTTCTGGACTAAAAATGCTTTATAACATCTATCTAATAATACGCGATTTAATAATAAAGCAAGTAAATCAGCAACAGGTAATGATGAAATGGCTCAAATGAACTGATACGCAGTATCTTGTCTTACAGTAACAAGAAAGAGTTTATTAAATTTGCATAAGATGAACGTGCACTGATAATACAAACTACGTAGAGGAGGCGAACAAACCCGTTATAAAAATCTTCCAGCGGTAAAAGCAGGGCTATGAGCACGAATAAATAAGTAATATTAAGATTCACTTTTTTTGTTCCTTCCTTTCTATCCTAGGAGCGTCACAATGTTATCTTCCTATGCAGACATCGAGGTTTCTTTCACGACCAATATAATACCACTCCTCTATTCTTGTCTCTTCTTTCTAAGCATATAATGTTTAGAAATTATTTTGTGAAGTTCCACGCATACTTTATACGTTGTGGTTACACTCTGTAAAATACTCATATTGAATGTAACTGTTTATTATACTTTGACTGAGTGAAAAATTTGAGCTGAAGATCTCAACTTTTTTAACACAAGAACAAATAACGGAAAATGTACAATTAACACGTGTGATCGTGGAGCGAAAAATTCGCAAATATCCGGCGAGAAAGTGTGTCTGGGCGAACGAACGAGTGGAGAGAGCAAAGATACGCTGGTGATTAAGCGATGTGTGGTGTATACGGTGGAAGCTAACTAATTAGGAACAAATGAAGTGGCGTGTGCAAATAAAGAGAAAAAGGCACAGTGTTGTTGAATGGTGTATTTATTTTGAACCTGTTCCTGCGCTGATACGACATGAATCGTATATTATGCAGGGTATCCTACGCAACTGGGCCAAGCCATAGCGTTGAAATGGTAGAAGATAGAACGAAATTTCATTAGAAAAAATTAAATAGTTTCAAGTTATGCATCACGTGGTACATGCGTCTTCTCCGAAAGTGGAGGCGTTTCAAAGATGTCATGGTCATTTAAAAAATTAGAGTGTTTTTATTTTTTATTACAGTCTTATTAGTGAAGTTTTGCAACTTCTCGATGCGTGATTTTACAGGATGTTCGGATTAACTTCATCTAATTAGTGTATGAAATATACTACACTACACTAATTATGAAATAAAAGAGAACACGTGTAAATAATACTAAATAATATGAGCGAAATTTAAATATTCAACGAAGATCGCTGCTTTTGATTTAATTTTTTACTAAATAGAATGGTTTGGATTCAAGTTGAATTAGATAGGTTGTTTAGAGATTAGTGCGTTCTTCGCTGCTGGTGTGCCTGATTGGAAGAATTATGCTCAATTACTTTACGTTACCTGTAAATTGATAGTCGGCTGGGTTTTTAGGCTATTGCTATTTCGCGTCTTTTCTTTCGGATACGATAGGTAATTAGTATGTTTTCGTTGTTTTGGATGTAGTCATGTTTGTTCAAGTACACGAATGCTTCAGATAGAATGTATCTTTTCTTTATGCATTTGTCGAGATATTTGTCAAAGTGGGTCGGCTATTGTATTTGTTGTTGATCGATTTTACCAAGCGACTTCTTATTAGCTTCACCATGTGTATGTCTACTTTCTTGTTTCTGTACCATCTTGCGTAACCGTGAGATCCAATTTGCTTGCATAGGCAGCAGGCGGCTCAGTACTTTTCTCTTCAAGATTCAGAATTTCTCCATTTTCCATTGTGAAAGATTCGGAATTTCTCCATTGTGTATGGGTTTACGTATTACCTACCAGATGGAACAGGCGAACGTTAGTAACGGTCTTACGCAGATTTTGTATAAGGCGATTTTGACTTGTTTGTTTATCATTGTAAAATGGAATATCTTCAGCAATATTTTCCACGAAGCGGTGGTTCGTAAGATCAATAGCTAGGCATTTTTGTTAAATTTGTAGTTTTTGGTAAATATCACGCCTAGCTATTAACTGCTTTTCCGTGATTAACTTCGATTACGTGATTTCGCGGGTCGGTGAGTGTGAATTTTTTCCAATTTCTTCTCGTGTCTCTGCTTAACTTTTTAACTTTTACTTTTAAACAATATAGTTTCACATTTGTTTGTGTTTACTTTGAGTTACCATGTTTCGCAATAATTTTGGATTTGGTTGAAAACAGATTGTAATTTTTCTAGCACTACAATGACTTTACGATGACCATTGCATGTAATTAGGTTGTCCGCAAATGCTAACGCCTTACAGCTGTTCTCGCCGTTGATATCAAAAAGTGTTAATATGTCTAAGAAAAACCAACTGAACAGCAACGATGAATTTATGGCTGCTTGTTGTGAGCTATTTTCTGTAGTAAACGGAGATTCGGAGACGTCTATGTAGTCCTAATATAACTTTAAATTTCCTGTCTGTGATCATGTTCGCTATCATTCGGATTAAATGAGATGGGAACCCTTTGGTGCATAATTTATAAATTAAACCAGAGTTATGAGTTATGAAAAACGATATTACAAAATTAATGATCTTAGAAGTTAGATTTCAAATAGAATATACATAATGACGCAGTGTTAGGTTTTCTGTAGAAACGGTTTATGGCACGATCGACCGGGATTTTTGAGTTCAGGATTTTCGTTTATTGCTTGCACGGGTCTAATTACATCTTGCAAGGGTCACTAGAATTGCTTTGCTAGATTTTCAATAGCCTACGAACATACCATAAACCACGAATTTCCGAACGGCACATCTGTATGTAACAGTCCGCTTGCCGATTAGTCACCCGGAGGAAATTCCAGATTTTTGGGACTTTCCGCCCACCCCTCGCGACCGTCTCCCACCCTTCCAAGGTGACAGCGCGCTAAGGGCGCACTGGAAGGGCGGTAAAGACGATATTAGACACGCTGATTGGCAAATGCAATCGTTAACCATTAACCAATCAGCGTGTCCCAACAAAAATCCCTCTCACGGTCGTGGTCCTTCGAACCAGTATCTAGACGGCACAACATCGTGCAAACATCTACAAGGCTCGAAAGTTTATCGCCACAACCACGGGCCTTAACACGCAGAATCATCTAAATGCATATCATTTAAGAAGTTAGTAATTACGGTATATACAGAATATCTCACTCATTATGAACATCTGAATCATGTCCCTTGTTACTGTAGGTATGAAGAAATAACATAGGATTTCATGAGTCAGGCGGAAAAGAAAGGTGGAAAGTAGAGTGCTTTTGGCCCTGGACCTTCGTTGCACATGCTGGGAATTATGCAGCATGTAGATCTCTGAAACGCCAACAGCACCAGTATATTCCGGTATTGGCTGTTAATTTCGACTACTTCCAACTTCTGCTTATTCTGCGTGTCAGGTTTTATTGACAATCTCGTTGGCGATTCCGGTTACCTGAAAACCTTTTGTTAACTCGACGATTTATCCTGTCGGCTGTGCCATTCAGTGGCACAAAACATCGAAGTGAGGATCCGTTCCTAATGCGGCACTGTGTCCACGTAGGTGTGCTTCCTTTCCTTTGCCTGCAATCTCGGCCATCCTATCCAGCGATGTATCCGTTTCCGTCACCCAAATATTTGGTCGTTCGGAAAGTTCTGTCAAATTTCGTCTGAATTGAAATAATCATAACTCCGCTAAAAATGAACATATTCAGCCAGAATAAGACCATTACAATCGATACACCTTTGCCAACGTTTCATTAATTTATTTATGCAATGCACAAAGAAACTACGAGGTGTGGAATTAACAAAGTCTACTATGGTCTGTTGCACATCGCGTTCATTTCGAATTGCTTTCTCCTTGATAAAATGGTCAAACTGTTTGAACCGATGATAATCTGTTGGCGAAAGGTCCGGAGAATAAGGTAGATATTGTAGACTCATATCCCAAGTCGTTTAACTTTTGCATTATAATTAATGATACGGATCAGGCGTTATCATGCAAAACAATCGAACCCTTTCTGTTGACTAATGTTGGACGGATAACGGAAAGCTTCTGATGCATTTCACTAAGTTCATTGCAGTACTTATTTGTTACAATCTCTCCCTTTTTTTAAAAATTATGCTGAATAATTCCATCAATAGATCACCAAACAGATAGCATTATCTTTTTTGGATAAGCTTTATGTTTTGGAAGGTAGTTCGTTAAAGTCCAACCTCTATTATAAAGTATCCACTTTTCATCAAAGGTAACAATTCTGTCAAGAAAAGGGTCTTTAATATTTCGCAGGATATGGGAAGAGCAAATGTAGGCACGAAGATTATTGGACAGTTCGTGCAGAACCCACTTATTTGTCTTGCGTTTGTCTTGCCTACGTTTTGTAGATGGCATAAATAAACTGATGAAACGTTGGCAAAGGTGTATCAATTGTAATGGTTCTTATTTTGAATAAATATGTTAACTTCTGGCGGAATTGTGATTATTTAAATTCAGACAACGAAATCCCACAGAACTTTCCGAACGACCTAATAGTTTGCATGTCTATTAGTAACCTGTTAAACCATAAAGTTGTTAAAAACTCATCTGGCATAGTGTTACTTGCACCATTGTGGAGATGCCGGAGGAATTGGAACGGTGTCCTGTCTCCCATTTCTTATTCGTCTACGAGCAGTCGGGTTCGTTGATTTTGACATTGAAAATCGCCGCATCAGCTCTGTCTTGAATCGCTCTTATTTGCCGGCATCTGAAGGGTTAGTAAGAACTTCTGCCTCCTGGGCATATTTGTTGTTCAACTGTGCTATTCTCTAGAAAAATTTGATGGTGTCAGATGTAATACTATGCAGAGCGAATTGTCCTCTCCGCTGACAGAACAATAGTGATGGTTTCTCTAGTCAAAATGGTGGGACCATAATTCTAACGCGGCTTACTTTGGCCATCACGATTTGGATGGATGTCTCCGAATTCCTGGCCACGTCGACAAAGTGAACTTGTTGAAAATTCAAAAAGTATCTTAGTCTGTGATAATTTTCGCTACTGGTTCTTTCCTCTCGTGATCACATCGGGGTTACCAATTGTAACAATAAGGTTAGGTTATTCTATAATAACCATTAACATTAAAGTTATTCTATAATAGCGATGGTGATAAAGATATAGTAATATTGAAACCCTTTTTAAAGGTGTCGTTGAACTTTCACGTTGAAAATCATTTACCTTTAACATGATCGAATAAATGAACAAATAGATAAATGGCGAAGATATATCAATATCATCTGACCACCCATTTTTCACTTTATCTATATCGCACGAATGCTATGGAAACTAAGTGGAAGTCACGTTATTAATTATAATAAAATAATGACTGATAGAATTCGTCGAGAGTGAATTCAATTTAGTGGAAAATTCTTTCACTTATTCTAATGAATATTTTACCCCATAATATGTAAATACAGTAACTCCTGAAAATATTAGAACACACGTCACGCAAAATTGCAACGAGTATAATATGTGTACTATACCAAAGGGTTATATTGGTCTTTTGAAACAAGTCTGAAAATATACAAAGAAGTCATAAGGTCCTACAGACATATATTTCACAGAAATTACAAAAAACTTCGAATACATAGAAACTGATGTAAGAAAGTAATGCCAACAATGGATTATCACAGTCGAATATAAACGATCAGAATGTTACAGGAAAATGATTAAAATGTTAGAGTTTCTAAAAAGAAACCTTGAAATAGCAAAATTAATAAGAAGATATTACATTTTACTAAGGAAATTATTAATAAAGACAACTCATCTTGAAGCAAAGTAATATTCTCGAATATATTCAAACTTAATAGTCTTGTCTCAGATATACGCAAACTTGTTTGCAGGAAAGTAAATACAAATATCGAAGTTCGAAACTTTCGTCGAACTATGTAACATTGTGGGGTGGTTCCATTACGGCGTGAGACTGCATGGCAACAAATGGTGCAGAGTACCAAGAATATATAGAAACAATATAATATATTTTGCAAAAATTTTAAATGAAGCGCCAAAAAATCGTGATTATTAAAAATATTTATTCTTGACATGATAATAATCTCAAGCATACAGCGAAAATAGCTAAAGACTGAATTTTGTACAATATAAATGTTAAGGCGTGTCCTGTAGCCGGATTTATGGCAGCGAGTCAAGTGGTCGTCGTCGCAGGCAAATATCGTTTTCTCAAAACACCACAAGTGTTTATTGCGTTGCCTGCGACACTTAGTCCCTAGGACCAGACCCTGCCATAAATCCTGGAGTCTCCGAACGGAAAATAGAAAAGTGGCCCACGACTTTTGCCAACGTCGATGGGTCACTTGACTTTAACAAAGCCTAGAAAAGCGGAGATTCCACAGGATTCCCACGCATCCATCCACCGAACACTTTCTCCGGTCGTTGTCTACCCCACCCTAAGATAACGCGCTAAGGGCGAAATGGAGGGAGGTTGCGATGCACCGGAGTAAACTGATTGGTGATTTAGAAAAGGAAAAATCACCAATCAGGGTGTTTTTAGGAAAATAGGAGTCTTCTTCGAGGGAAACCGCAGAGACTCCAGCAGGAACATTTGGCGACTCGCGGGAGAAACACTTGGCCACTCGCAAGTGAAACGCCTCTCACTTCGCAATAGAATTTATATCTTGAATTAGTTGTAGAAAATAGAACATAAACTAAAAACTTAGTGTTTCAATCAAGAAACTGGTCCTTCGAAGCCTTAGAACATTAGTCGGCACACACGTGCAAAAACCGGCAAAGCTTGAACGATCGAAAG